TGCTGGCTTTCTTTTTGAACTCTTATCTAGACACTCTTTGTAGTGTCATTACCAGACATTCCTGAAGAACTTGATGAGGAAATGCTTCAGGTTCTCAGAATACAAGCATGGAGATATCTTTTCAGAGTTTCTGTAGATAAATGCATTACTCCACTGCTGAGATATAATATTCTCCCTTGAGCTATGTATGCTTATTGTATAAGTCTTCTATCTTTTAGTGTATTAGCAGATTTTCAACATAGAAACTGCTAGTTTTTCTCCACACTTGCTCTTCCCCTACCCTGTTCTGTTTCCCTCCACTAAACCTGACCTTTAACCTGTATTCAAGCTTGAAACCTAAGTCAACACCTGTTGCTCATTCCTCACCCTATCCTCCATCACTCAACTTCCAAAATAAAAAACAAAGACCAAATATTGCAGAATGCTATGAAACAGTCATTGGTATCATTGAAATTTTATTTTGGAAGACATTACTGAATAAAATTAGAATCATTTTGACCACAGATATCTAGAATGTTGATCTAATCACTAAGACAGTTTCTGACAATTAATTTTTTTTTTATAAATAGCATATATTATACACTTGGTGAAGCCATGTTTTTATTTTATTTTTTATTGGATATTTTATTTATTTACAATACCGATGTCATGCCCTTTCCCCATTTCCCCTCCCCCCTCCTCCTTTATACTTTTATACAATTTTAATTACATGGATGTATTAAGGGCAATTCTAGGTTGAGGGTCTAGCAATTCAATAGATGCAAATAGTCAAGGAACAAGCAAGACAATAAACACAAATAGTCAAAGAAAAAGCAAGGCATTAAACCCAATTACGTGAACACTCCCGTGATCACTGTTTCTGAGGAAGCCATGTTTATAATTTATCAGTATCTCCACGTTCCTACAAGTTAACCATACAATAAAGTTCAATACTTTTATTAACCAAATGAATAAATGCATACATCAAAGCCCCAATGCTGTAATATCCTCTCATATTAACTTACTGGGAAAATAATTTGGCAAAAGTGACTCTATTGGAGCAAATTAAGAGATTAAAAAATATTTTAGAGAAGTTGAAATGGAATTTACGTTCTATTTTACTTTATTGCAAGATAATATATAGTATCACAAGTCTGTTTGCTTTCTTGCCGCAGTCCTTAAACACAAAGAGACCCTTCTGTCAAATACACCCTTCCCAGAGTCACTTTTAAACTGCTAACTGCCGTTTATACAATACAGGCACAATTTCATTTAGAAAATCTGCGTTTTATGCATCTGTTTGTCTCCCTCTATCTTCATATTGCTTCTAAGGTGGCGTTCTTTGTACTGAAGGGTGAGTCTTTTTACTCACCTAATTAATGCCTTCTAACCACACAATGATCATTCTGTTTATTGTTAAATCCTTAACTCCCAGTACATCATCTTCTGAACACTGGCCTCTCAACAGGCATGCTAATGAGTACAGAAGGCAACATGTAGCATATGTCCAGCTAGAGAAGGGCATGTGGATGCTGATTTTAATTAACTAGTAATAGAATCAAATATGCATTCACTTTTATTATATCTTGAATCACTTACAGTGTAAAACGCATCTTGGTTTCTTAAATTGGCTTTTTTTTTCATTTTCCTACTTGATATTTTGTTCTAACAGCACTGATTTACTTTTGTTCTTTTTTAGTTTTTATAAATGTCTTACTTTTTTTTTATGTATTCTTCTCTCATATAATATAAACTGTCCACAGCCTCACCTCTCTCCTCTTCGCCTAGTCACAACCGTCTCCTTTCTCCCCTAGATCCTTTGCTCCTCCATTTACTTTTTAAAACAAACAGGCCCTCTTTATGTTTTCTTTATTAAAATTATATTAATATTTTAATAAAAACAGAATTACATCATTCCCTTCCTTTCCTTCCTCCAGCCCCGTCTGGCTACTTGTTTTCATGATCCATTTGCCCAGTAAGAAGTTGTTAATTTGAATTATTTATCCTTTCAGAACCCCTGAAACTATTAGTTACCAATTCCTGCTCTTGGGTTTGTAAAAAACCTGCTCTGGCTCCTGTTTCCAATATTTACTGCATTCCTTCCTTTCCTTGTACTGCTAACCACTTTTCTACGTTTCAGACTAGCTGAATGTGATTGGTATTCTTGTTTTTCCTTTCCTGTTATAAGGGTGTTGTTATTTTCTAATATTTTGAGTTTTCAAGTCCTTTGTGTATGTGTTATGGCCTTTAGTTTTGTGTTTTTGTAAGGTACCTGAGTGTGCAAATGAATGGGTCTCTGTACGTATATCTGCTTCTTGTGTTTACCTCCACCCCATTTGGATGTTTCCTTCTTTCCGATTGTATTATCCTCTTCTGATGTGTTAGTTTTTGTTTTATCTTACTATATTATATTATTATTTCATAGAAATCTGTTTTTAGTGAGAGACAGAATGCGAGTGAATGAGGGAGAGTGGGGAGGTAGGTGGAGCTGGGAGGAGCAGAAGGAGGGAGAAATGTGATCAGGATATATTATATAAGAAAAATAAAATTTAAGTGAGAGGGAAAAAAAGAAAAATAATGCTCCATTTATTTGCCATTTTCATCCATGGGACGGGCCCACAGTAAAGAGACTTTCATTACATGATAGGCAGGTTTCAGATATGACTCTTTGTCTTCACGTATCTAACAATTCACAAGTAAGTAACAAAATGCACTTATTTATAAATGTCATATGTATTCTGAGTAGGTATTTAAATATGGATGTTATAAACAGTCCCAGGAAGGGGTGTCCTAAGTCGGTCAGGCAATATTATGGTAGTAGTGAGAATAGCAGGATATATAGGAAAGACATAACTTTCCTGGTTCATTTAAAATATCCATTTCCTATTTAATTATAACTCAGAACCATATATTTTCTCTTAGGGCAGCTTAAAGTAGATATTATAACTTATGTTTAAGCTCCAGAGGTTCTCTCCACCTTAGATGATTTTAAAAATGAAGTCAATTAAAATGATTATATGTGAAATAACAGAAAATATTAATATGAAATAGCTGGGAGTTGCTGGATGGAGGAAAAGGGAGGAGGGAGTGATGTAATTCTATTTCAATTAAAACATATTGAAATAAAATAATTTTTAATTAAAAATAAAAATGGAAAGGAATGTAAATAGATCTGTGGTATAAGAGTAAAATATCAAAGTAAAAATGAAGTTACTGTTGGGAGATAAAAGAATCAGGGAAATCACTTCCAGCTACAGTACCAAATCATCACAGCTATAGACTCTGAAACTGTGAGTCTGCTAAATGTTTCCTGATTGGTCTATCTCAGCATCTATTCTAAAATATTTGGAATACTCTATCTTTTAATTTTTAGACCAATATGAAAATATAATAAAATCATTGAGTAGTTCCTCCCTATGTCCGAGGGCCGTGGTGTCTACTGAACCAGGCACCCTGAATTAAACACTCCATATCTGCAAAGCTTCCTCCTCTATGGCAAGCTGTCTCCAAGACAACGCAGTTGGAGAGCAGCCCTGCTCTTGTGCCTGTCTGTAATCAGCGCCTTGTTTCTCACTATCCTATTCCTCAGCAAATGTTTGGCGGGGGTGCCAGTGTCAGTAATCTTGAATCTGTTTTACATGGGTCTGCAGAACTGCAATCTGCAAAACAGAATTTGCCAAACAGATCCATGCAGAACAGATTCAATATTCTTACAGCAGAAAAACCCTAAACGTTTTAAATAGGTGTGACAGCTCACATCAGCTCTTCATGAAGAATTCTGCTGAAAGCCAGATCAATCACATTAGGGTTATCGTCAGTATCTTCCCACTTTCCATTCTCACTCCAGTGAAAGACGATGGGCACAATAAATATAATGAGTTCCATTTTATAAGCATTTTCATTCCCTGCACCATCAGCTAGGAAATGCCACTAAATGTCGGCAGTTCTGCATGTCAACACACTGGTTATAGCCCTTTTACATTAATATGACTCCCAGTTTACTCTTGAGTATGGTGTGACAGGTATATCCCCCTTATTCATCTTCCCCAGGAAAAAAAAACTAACTTTTACTAAATGACTTCCCCCACAGAGTCTAAAGGATTTCTAATCTCATTAAAGCCTCTTCTCTCTTTCTCCCCAGACCAAAAGCTTCCTAATGAGATATTTTACAGTGATTCTCATCCCATTTTCCCCTCTTCACCGACTGTCCACTGCAACATACTGACTGCTGAGTCGAAAATGTGACTGTGCTGCTGGGGGCAACTTCCTAATCCCAACCCTTCCTCTATTTCATTAGTGTCGTGGCTCTTACTGGTACCCCTGTCAGAATAGTTTTGCTCATCTTCATCCCTCCAGAAAGATGAAATTTCACTTCTTGTTTTTACCCCTCAGCAAGATAATGACTTGATTAGGTCATCAATTCTTTCTGAAATGAGTTTCCTCATTTCAGTTAATTTTCTGTGAAACTCTTGGAATTAATTAGAAAAATCAAACCCTTAATGCATGCAGCAGAGAGGCACGAGTGCCTGTGTTAGTGGCGACCCCGGGGAGCTAGGTGTCAAGACTCCAGTATAAGGTTTTTAGGATAGTTCATTACCGACACTCCTTTTATTTTTTCTTGCTCTGTGCTGATACAGTTATTTCTTACTTTGTATGGCTTTGGGAGGATAAAATAAAAAGAAAATGCACTATAAGGGTTTATTATGTAAAAGTGCCCACCAAAGGCAAAAAAAAAAAAAAAAACAACCAAAAAACAGAAAAAGGGCAGTCCCTCCATAATACCTGTTATTACTCCTATGTTATGTGATAATGACCTTTTTTTTTTTTGTTATTACACCTTTTATGTGACGAATTGCTTGAAGCACCACAGGTTTCTTCTGAGTGGTCTTGTGTCGTGCTTTCCCACTCTGTTAGAAGTATGCTGCGTCTGCTCATGCTGCACACAAGGAGAATCTTTCTCCTTCCCGCACATTCCCATTCCCCTAAATGCCTCCCCCCTAAAGAAATTATTTCACAATATCTTTAATGCTCATTTTAAACTTTATTTATGGTGGGGTTGTACACATGTTTTGTAAAGTGTGCTAAGTGCTTATACTGAAAACAGTCCAGTTCAAATCAGTCCATTCTGCACGGATGCTTCCTGTGTCAGTTGAAGTCATATGGAGAAGGGCCTTGACCTTTCTCTTGGTCAGGTCTGCATTGCTGTTAAGTCCTGCTAACTCTCCAGGGCCTTCTTTGTCGTTACAGATCATCAGTCCCATACAAAGAACAAGATACAGAACACCTCAATGTATTTCACAAGTTTAGCACAGCACATCTCTTGTACAAAAAGCCACAAAAGCAAAAGTACCAACTTGCTTACTTATAAACACACATGCATCAATCTTAAACACTACACAACTGAATACACTGCATTACAAGGTACAAAAGCACTGTATGGGAAACTTAAAAATTATACATGAAATACTGCACTGTGGATCTGGAATACTCTAATGACTCAACCCCACCCTTACACAGCCCTAGTATGGGTCAGAAACTATCAGTGTGCCCCTGGACCTTTTTAGTCCTCAGAGACACTGCTGCGGGGGGCCTGGGCAGCAAGATTAGCCTCTCGCAGAGCTCTGGCCTGCTCCAGAGCCTCTCTGTAGCGGGAAGGCCAAGCCTGGGGATCCTTCTTGAAGACTCTGGCCAGGAACTCCATGATCTGCATCTTGGTGAATTCACGGTTAGCTCTGGACCCCCAGAAGAACTCGTACTCGGGAGGCTCGATGTAGGGCACACGCTGGTACTTCAGGTAATTCTGCTGGACGAACTCCTCGGTGATAATCTTCCTCACGTCTCCAAAGGTGGAGTGCTTCTTCCAGGGCCTCAGCCCCAGGATGCGCAGCACATTCCAGACGGCGCTCTCTCTGGCCCCGCGGCCCTTCACGTAGATGAGGCTCAGGATCATGAGCAGGAGGCCTGTCATGGGCATACGGTTGTTCAGCGCCATCCTGTCTAGCTCTTCTGGGCTGAGTGCTTTGACCAGGGCAAACTCCATGGTGTGGAGATTGGCCAGCCTCAGGTGCAGCCCGAACACTCTGGAGAGGATGACGGTGGTGCGCCTGAGGATGCTTCTGCACCATTTCTTGTAGCTGCCCATGACGTCTTTCACCATGTCTGGAAACCAGAGGACCATCCTCTTCTGGTCCTTCACCAACACGTACCACATGAGCTCGTGCGCCTTCTGCACCACCTGGATGGGGGCTGGCGGTAATGGGATCGGCCGGGGTGGGTGCAGCGGCTGGTGGCCGCGGGCCTCCTCTAACGCCTCCCGCACGATACTAGGGTCAACATCTTCCATCCGTTCGTCGCCCAGAGGGCCTGCAGGAGCGCGCGATGGCACAAGGAGGTTCAGAAAATCAGGAGGAATGACGAACACAGGAACAGCAGCGGCTACCTGCATCTCAGAGTCGGCGGCCTCGGCGGCCTCGGCGGCAAGGTTAGGGTCGCTCAGGTCCTTACTTTGCTCCGACATGTCTGCGTCTTCTGATCAGATCAGGACCGATGCGGCTTGGAGCTCTCGGAGCCGGTACTCCCTCAGCGGAGACTGCCAGAGGAAGTGCGCTTTACTGAGCACTGCGCCTTCCGCAGCAGCTTGCAGGGCGGGGCAGACTTGATATTGCGCATGCGTGTTGGGAAGGCAGACGGGTGGTAGGGCTGGATAGGAGCGATGTAGCAAAGCCCAACCACTGGAGTCTAAGGGAGGGTACCACGTATGAAAAAAATCTCCTGGTCTCCTGTATGAGGCAGAGATGGATGATGGTGGGGAAAGAAACAAGTTGAAGGAGAAAGATATAGCTGAGATGGTGAAGTTAAATTCGGACACACTGAGTTAGTGCAAAATCAAATTAAGTGGAAAAAAGGGAAGACTAATTCTTGAATTTGAGTATTCTACAAAAGAATAAGAGAGGCAGAAATGACCTTTTTTTTTTGAAAGTCGTACCTTATGATGATGTGTTGTCTCAGATTGAAATGTTGAGAAATTATTAATAGAGATAAATCCTTACAAATCGGAGTGCAGATCAAACAAGGAAGAATGCAAAGTGTAGTTACAGGCACTGGAGATTAATCCACGTGAGATTTGAATGGTTTAGAAGTAATAGATTCATGTAGCGTAATTGATGTGCGTTTAAAATTTTAATTAAAATGGGACTTGGTTCAGTGGGTAAGATCTTCTGCAGTTCAAGCATGAGAACCTGAGTTTAAACTCCCAGGTCCCATATGAAAAAGGGGGACATATAAAAATATTTATATGCATTCATTCATCATTGGGTGCTTAGCTTGTTGGTTTATAATTATTTTAATAACTATAGATTTGAGCTCTCCATTACGATTAGGACACTTTGTTTTCATCTAAAATTTCCCTTAAGATTCTAGTGGAAAATATTCAACAAATTTATTAATACACATTTTATGATAGTGTATTTTTTTTCATGTTTCCCCAGTGCTCTTTTCCCCTGCTCACTGATGTTAATTTAAGTCTTCCATTTCTCACGCTATGTTGCTAGCAAATGACTAATTCTACATTGGGAGCACATCCAAATCTTTCCCAATATCTTTTAAATGTAGTTCTTTTAGATAATGTCTAACAGTCTCTCATAAATAAGATTTTATGTCTATAAATAAAAATGAGGATTTAGAGGAGATAATCTGATGCTGATATTTCCTCAAACTCTCCGTTATGCAATGACCATTGTTGAAGCTTCCAAAGCCACAAGTTCTTAGATTTGATCATCTTTCTTGTTTTGAAATAATGAAATTCCTTAGCCCTTCTTTGATTTTTTTTTCAAGTTTAAAACATCTTAAAATTATGCATTGAGACTTTACTCTTACTTAAAACAGACATTTAAGATATCATGTTGGAATTCCTAGGTTCTAGGAATGTGTTTATTTAGGCAGGACAGATATCTTTTACCCAGAATATTTGTGGCAAGAGGTGTTTCGGAGTTTCCCAGATTTGAGAATATTTGCACATGTGCAGTAATATGCTTCAATCTCCCATATAGATATGTTATTAGCTTACTTTCTATGCACATTTTTGAAGGCAACACTATGCAATAGTCCTAGTAGAATTTTGTCTCAGTTGTGAACTACTCCATGAGATCTGACGTGGAATTTTTCACTTGTGGTATCCTGTACATCTTGGAAATGCTTCAGATTGTATAATATTTGTGATTTTAGGCGTTTGGACTAAAAATGCTCTGGTTCTCTAATGCTCATTTCTTAATTTGTTTTTCCCCACGTGGGTTGATTTTTCTGGGCTAGCTCACTATGTTTATTTATACAGTGTATTTACCATCTTATACCTAATGAATTGATGAAAACAAATCGTAAGTGTGGGCAGACAATCTTGAAGTTGTTTCTTCCTCAGGTAGGATACCAGAGATGTTACTAGAGAGCTACCTGGGCATCAGCTACTGACTAGAATGAACTTTATAATTGAATTCCTAGCTGGAACTCACTCTGAAGAAGCTGTTCACATGATAGTAGGCAGAACCTCTTCTGAAGCTCACAAGACACATTCCTACTGATAAGAAAGCTGCTTAAAGCTGAACCAGAGACTATAGATTAGAACTACACTAATAGAGTTTCAAGAGTATAGAATTAATGTTCAACTTAAAAGGATCCCAGTGTAAACTGTGGTGCTGCTTAGCCTCAGAGTTCCAAAGCACCCCTACAGATAATGACTTCATGTATTCAAAGAAATCCTTCTGAAGAAGATCAACCCACTACCATAAAGAAAAGGAAGACAGTTTGGGATAATGTTTAAACACAGAACACAGACTTTAAGCAGAGAGCACATTTATCATGAAAGCTTGGGAGCTGATATCTACACAATACATTGCTTACTCCTATAGAGACTGGACGACATTACAAAAAACAATGAAAAGGAAGTAGCATTAGGCAAAGGAAAAGAATCCAGTACTGGTGTGGTTGGTGTCCATGCCTACTCTAAACCCAAGTGAGATATTGCAAGTAGAGTCCTAAAGGTGTCCAAGAATGTTGGGAATAATTTAGACATAGTGGATATCTTTGCATTCAGTTTAACAGGAGATAGAAAATAAGACACCTCACCGTAGATTTAGAAGAAAAAGCAGGAAACTTATACTCCTCGAAAAGATTCAGGAAGAGATTCAGAAATAGAAAATGGAGACATTATGTTTTTGGATCTTTTGGAAAGGACATTTTTCCAATGGGTTACTTCAGACTGTAATATGGAACAGATTATACAGCTGTGGAATAGGCTGTTCTTGGCAGACTCCTCTGAAGAGGCCTCTCCTGGCACTGGCTTCCACAGAGAGCTGAAGAAGGGGGTTCATCCTGGAGCCTCCTAAAGATACTGTGCATGCTCTCAGGGCAGGGCCCTTGGATGAAATGTGAATTTTTCCTGGCTCTTTCCTGTCCACAAAGGCAGTGACCTTTCTCTTGAAGCCCCCAAATGGGCCCCACATGCCTTTTCAGGCCAAGAAACTGAAACAGAAACTCATTTTAATATTTCCAGCAAATATTATTGAGCAGCGTCAGTCCTAATTTTAAATTTTGCATTTTGAAAAGTAGCTCAGTCTTATAGAGAAGCAAAAATCAGGAGTACTGGGCAGCTAAGTACGTTTTTTGTTACGGAAGAATTGGAATCAAGGACAGAAAACCCCATTCCACAGTTTGAGGGAGGAGGGACCAGCCTCTGGCCTGTCATATTCTGCATCTTCCCTATGTGGTTGAACTCAAGCTTGTTTCTTTTTGAGGCCAGCTACACTCACCCAAACTGTTCAGCTCTGTTCTGTCCAAATTCACAACTTGTTCAACTGATATACAGAGAGAAATAAGGTTCAGAGTGTCTCCTAAATGGTCTCCTTGACACAGAATTTAGACTGGAGATAGTGATAAAGAAGAAATTGGAGGGTGGGGTTCTGAGAAGGCAAGACGTTTGAACTTCTATTGCAACTGTAGTTTGGGTGTTTGCCTGAAATAGAATGCAGAAAGACATATGATAAATGGTGAAGGGAAATGGCAAGGAGAAACATAAATAGGAAAAGAAAAGCAAATAGTAAGGTAGTCATTGTTTTGATGTGTGTAGTGAATGAGGAGCAATTTTGACATTTAGCCTGGACAAAAGTAAAGACTGTTCAGTAGAAATACCAATACAGAGGTATTCACCTGTGATGTGAAAAACAGGAATATGAATCTTCTTCAGAAGTGGGTCTGAATAAGCATAGTTGTGTGGCCACAATATGCAGGAGCATTTAGTAAATCTATACAGACATAAATACTGACTTAACATGGCTGTGATAACCCTGCATAAAGCCAGGAAAGGTGGCATGTATCTGAACCCCAGCACTCCATAATGGAGTTTGGCTGATCCAGAATTCAGAGTTCAATAGTGATACAGTGTCACTCCTGCTAACCCCTAAATCGTAAACACCCCCCAGACACTCCCACAGACACTCACAGACACACACAGACACACACACACACAGACACACACACACACACACACACACACACACACACACACACACACTGCATAAAATTATCCTAAATATAACTTGGCTGAAGTGAGAAATTTTGGAGATAAAAAGGTAACCACTATCATCTTAACAGTTCCTAGAATCAAATTCTTTATAGTGACTATTCCTGGCATAGAAGAAGGATTAATTTTCCTATGCAATATACACCCCAATTTCCTACCTCTACTATCCTTGGAAATACCACAGGGAAGTCAGAAAATTAAAATTAAACTTCCTCACACTGCAAAACTTTACATGGTTTTCATGTAAATTGTCAAAATTATGTGTTTAGTAGTGTTCGCATCACTTTTCCTTATGCCCTTTGCCATCAATCAACTCCTCTACATTGCTATGCTTTGGCTTCCACCATTATACTGGAATTACACAAATACCAACACCAGACATATTCCTGAAGAGACCCACTAACACCTCTAGATACCTCATAGGTTGCCTGAACATCTGAGAGATTGCCTATGCCTCAGATCTTTGGATGTATCCTTTTCTCTAATTTTCCACTAAAAGTTGAGGTTTCTTGTGTCACTTGTTTTGGGCATCCAGATCCTCAGCTAAGAAGAACTGAAGAAGAGATAAAAATGAGCAGGGAGGAGAGAAGAAAGACAACTCTGTCAACAGATCCACATAATTTAAACCTCTTTTCAAACCAGCATAACACATTCTTTCCTAGAACTATTTTGGGGCACATGAAAACAAGATTCTGCATCTCAAGCATACATCTCTGAAACACATTATATGAACCAGACACTGACTCCAAGTATGCAGTGTTTGTAGGTTTTGCTAGTTAATATTTTGTTTAGATATCTCATAGATATTCTCATCGGTGTGTTTTTAGTTATTTTTTTGTAAATTCTTTATCTGGTTTGATATCAGGTATTATGAAAACATCATAAAACTGTTCCTCCTCACTTTGTTTTTATGAAAACAAATTTGTAGCTCTAGATTCACTTCTTTAAATGGTGAGTAGAATTTTTTTTCAGTGAAGGCTTTAGTGCTTAAAGATTTCTTTGGGTGATGGTTTGTGACTACGAATGAAATTTGAAAAATGTGTTGTAGGCCTATTTAAATGATTTCTTTCTTG